TTGTGTGTGGGATCCCTCCTGCCCAGCCGATCCTGACTATGCAGGATGATGGATGGACCCAGTGGGGATGTGTGGGGATGTGTTACAGTGATTAAAAACACGGCATCCGTGAGGTGGGAAGACGGAAGTCACGGAGGACCCAGGGTCAGATCCGGGAGTGGGACATAGTGCTGCAGTGAGCAGCTGGCAGGGTTAGCGTCCGGCTGGGGTTGTGCTCGCTGCAGAATCACGTCTGACGTTGGGCGGTGAGCGGAGACGGCCATGACACCGGCTCGCCGTTGCTCCGGGTTTCTGGTGATGCTAAGGGCACAGATGAGTCAGAAAGTCACCTGTGTGTCAGGTCTTGTGTTGCTGGAGGGCAGCGCCTGCGCCTCTTTTTAGTTGAGTTCCCCTTGATAATCCCAGGGCTCCGCTGGCAGATTCTGTATTTCGGTCTCACTGAGGGCTGACTCACCCCCTGGTTTCCTTCCAGGCGATGTCAAAGCTGTCACGTGTCAGCCTTTTGATTACGAGCGTAGCTTGGAACACCTGGAGTCAGGGAGTGCAAAGCATGTTCAGCGTGCTAGCTTCCTCAATTTAACTTACCTTTTATTTTATTGCATTACTTATTATTTTTATGTATATCTGCCTGCACTCCAGAAGAGGGCGCCAGATTTCATTACAGAAGGTTGTGAGCTGCCCTGTGGGTGCTGAGAATCAAACCCACGTCCTTTGGAAGAGTAGCCAGTGCTTTGAGCTGTCTTCCCAGCCCCTTGGTTTTTTAATTTTTTATCTTTTTAAATTTATTATTATTATTATTATTATTATTATTATTATTATTATTATTATTATTATTATTATTATTATTATTATTATTATTATTATTATTATTATTATTATTATTATTATTATTATTTGGTTTTTCGAGACAGGGTTTCTCTGTGTAGCTTTGGAGCCTATCCTGGCACTCGCTCTGGAGACCAGGCTGACCTCGAACTCACAGAGATCCACCTGCCTCTGCCTCCCGAGTGCTGGGATTAAAGGCGTGCGCCACCAACACCCAGCTAATTAATTTTTATTTCAGTTAAACACAATCTTATTTTACTTACCAATCCCAGTTCCCTCTCTCTCCCGTCTTCCCATTCTCCCCAGCACCCTCTGTCCCACCCCCATCCACTCCTCAGGGAGGGTGAGGCCTCCCATGGGGGGGGATCATCAGAATCTGTCACATCATTTGGGGCAGGGCCTAGGCCCTCTCCTGTGTGTCTAGGCTGAGGTAACATCCCTCCACAGGGAATGGACACCCAAAGCCCATTCGTACACTAGGGATAAATATGGTTCCACTGACAGAGGCCCCATAGACTGGCCC